ACACAAAGTATTTAACAATTGCACATTTGGAGGGAAGCACTTCAGGGGTTGCTTTTTCGGCAGCCTCCAGCAAGCCGTACCTTCGTATCTCACGAAAACTGGAATGCCTCCCATCGTTTCGCATGACATTCCCTGTTGTAGCCTCTTGCAAAACCCTCCCTCCTTTCTCTGTCCTTGTTATAGAACATGTCAGGAGGCAGAGTGGTAGAGTGACCCATGAGATGGCACCTGTCACCAATCTGATTTCTCCTGCCTCCAGCAGGCCAAATTTTGTTTGAACCTGCAGTGGCCTCTGTCATAATCCTCAATTTCCCTTCCACTCTTGGCTTTCCTCCTTAATCCCGTTTCTGCAGGCTGAGGATGTGTTGATGCAGCGGCCAAACCTTTCTCCTTCCCCCACCTTTTCATTTTCTCTCCTGGCTCGGAAGCGTCAAAGTAAAATTCACTGGAAAGCACTGGAAAATCCTTTGGAAAATTAGCTTTCGCAGCTGTATATAATGCAAACACACATGCACACACATGTACACACGGGCAGGCACAGGCCCACAAACACAGATGCACGCGTATTTCCTTCTTTTCTTCTAAATCACAATGTGGTTTGGAAAAAAATGGGTATGAAATGCAACATTTTGAAAAGAAATGGGAATGAAATGCAACATGTTTCATAAATTTCCATGGTAAGCCTGTTTATCAGTTCTCTAATGAAGGCTTTTGGTTATCACTTTAAAGGAACTGATGCAAGGAGTCTACAATAAACAAGATGGTAAAGCTGGCTTCTTGTGGGTTTAATCCTTGTCACTTCTCTACAACCATGAGAGCTGAGTTCGAGTCCATGAATATTCAGTGTCATTTTTCTGCTTTTGTTACAGACAAGACCTATTTTGACCACTGATATACCATTCAAGCACTGGTAAAAAGATATATCTAAATTTATACAGCAAGGGGAAAAAACATGAGTTAAATATAAAATGTTACAAGATGCAAAGGAAAGGGGAAAACTAGGTTTATCCAATTTGAAGTTGTATTTTGCAGTTTGTGGTTTGATCTGGATGAAAGAATGGATGTTGTTGAGAAACAAGAAACTTTTAGAGTTAGAAGCTCACAACCTGAGGTTTGGATGGGACTGATAATGTATGATGCCACAGAGTTCAAATGAATGTGGATTTTAAAAACAATTTTTTATCAGACATGCCATATTGAGGATATGGCATAAAAATAAACACAGGTTGCATTGTAGATCTCAGCTCAAAAAGCACTCCATAGAAGAGAAACAGCAGGCAAAGAAAAATGGTTGATGTACCAGGAATTATTGGGAAATTGTCAAGGCGAATTTGAGATTAAATCAAGAGAGTAACTAATACAGAAGGATATATTTGTCAATGTTGTTTTTTTTTTCCATTTACAGTTCTCAGAAATTTTCAAAAAGGACAAAAAGACAGGGTGTGAAACAAAGTAAAACAAAATTTGAAGTACAATTGTGCACTGATTGTGAACACGTAATTGCTAAAATGTATATACACTTTTTGTTGAAATTTGAAACAGAGGAGGAACAGGTCAAAAAATGCATGATATTGGGCGAAAGATTCTGGTTATAATGTAGAGATGACCCAATGGGAAAATATGTGGTTAAAAGGATTGAAATTTAAATTATTAGTATAATCTTAAAGGGATTTTTTATAAACTGACGTATCATTGGTACATGATGCCAGAGAAATTAACTAGAATGTATAAAGGCACTTCAAATGTATGTTGGAAATATCAATGGCACGAAGGGATATTCTATCACATTGGTGGACATATAAAAAATCTTTAAAAGAAATCTTTGGATTCACTTACCTAACTTTAAGATGGAGGATATTAATAATCAGCTGAATCTAGAACTTTTCTTTTTAGGATTGATAGATACACAGTTGGATAAAAGTCATGGGAGATTATTTCAAAATATAATTAATGAGGTGAGATTATTATATTCAGAGAGATTGAAAGATTCAGCATTCACCACTATGGAGAAATGGCTAGTGAAATAGAAATATCTTGCTGAAATGGATAGACTAACTTATTTGATTAGAGGAAAGACAATATCTATGTTTATTTATCTATATTTATAGATAAATTTATAGATAAATATATCTTATAGTGCAGAGGGGCAGCATAAAACATTTAATAAATAAAATCAATAAAACCCCATATAGACTTTTTGCATAAAAATGAAGAAATACAACTTGCAATTTATGGTTGGGATAATTAGACAGAATAGATTATAGAAAGAAGAGAGTCACAATGTAATTTTAGATAGACGGAGGTTAAAATTTAATGGTACTTATAAGTTGCTGTGAAGAATATTGGAAAATACTTTTTATGTTTTTATATCTTTCTTTATGTCTTTTCTTCTATTTCCTTCTATTTTCTTACTGCACCTTTGTCTATTTCCATTCTTTCTTTCTTTTTTTACCTTTTCTGTTCTAATTTAATTTGTTGCAACGTCTTAAAACTTTTAAGAAAAATTATATATATATTTTTTTTAAAAAAAAGTTAGGTGGCATTTTTCAGTCGCAGGAGACTTTCCACTTCTCCTTCTCTTAGACACCGAATCTTGACTCTGAGACAAGTTTCAGCTGCCCAGCAAGGGTATTGATCTCATCACAGTGACAGCCAAAGCAGTGGTGGGATTCAAATTTTTTTACTACCAGTTCTGTGGGCGTGGCTTGGTGGGCATGGCACGGCTTGGTGGGCATAGCTTCGTGGGCGTGGCAGGGGAAGGAAACTGTAAAATCTCCATTCCCTCCCCACTCCATGGTCATGTGGCCGGCATGTCTGAACACCAAAGGCGCATGGAACGCAGTTACCTTCCCACCAAAGATGGTCCCTATTTTTCTACTTACATTTTTTACATGCTTTTGAACTGCTGGGTTGGTAGAAGCTGGGACAAGTAACGGGAGCTCATCCTGTTATGCAGTGCTAGGAATTCGAACCGCTGAACTGCCGACCTTCTGATTGACAAGCTCAGCTTCTTTGCCACTGAGCCACAGCGTTCCTTTCCAGGAAACTAAGCACGTGCTAATTTAAAGACGCAAATATACATTTAAAAAGAATGGCTATAATTTAAACCCAAGTGTTATTGGTCTGACTTAGTGCATCTGTTGACCAAGCGCAAACTGAAAGGGCAAAGCCTCAGGTTCCTCCCAGTCCTTCCCTTTCTCCATTTCAGGTTTTATTTATTTTTAATTTATCATCAATACCCTTTAGTAGATTCATCCAACAACTGATAAAGTACAGACATATTCAAAACCTTGAAATTGAAATGTTCAGTTCTGACTTTGAAACAATTGTTTGGAGTTTGAAATGGATTGTTTCAACTGTTCTGCCAATGTTTCAAGGTCAAGAAATATAGAGTTTAATTGGATACTTGAAACTCAAAGTTGGGCCAAATTGAATCTAAACACAGGTTTAGACTAAATTGAGGTTTGCATTCTTAGCGTCTCCTCGTTTCCCCCCACAATGAGTTTATGGACTTAGAAAAACAATTAATCCATTAAAATGGGGGAAAGTTTTCTTTTCTCTTTCTTCCTCACTCATGAAGGCCTCATGAATTAATGACTAAAGGGAATCCCGGTGTTCTGATTTCATGAAATAATTTTGTGTTAATGTCATGACTCTCAAAAATAAAAGAGGGATAGAAAAAAAAAACAGAAAAGGTTAACAAGACAGAATGTTTGTCGAGATCATCAATCATCCATGGTTGTCCCAAAGGTGCTTTTCAAAAGACAACCGGACTCTTCTTGGGTTTTATTTTTCCCTTGAAAACGTTTCGCTTCTCATCCAAGGAGCTTCCTCAGTTCAGAACTAAAGAACTTGGATGAGAAGCAAAAGGTTTTCAAGAAAGGAAGGAAGGAAGGAAGGAAGGAAGGAAGGAAGGAAGGAAGGAAGGAGAGAGAAAGAAAGAAAGAAAGAAAGAAAGAAAGGAGGAAGGGAGGGAGGGAGGAAGGAAGGAAGGAAGGAAGGAGAAAGAAAGAAAGAAGGAAGGAAGGAAGGAAGGAAGGAAGGAAGGAAGGAAGGAAGGAAGGAAGGAAGAAAGAAAGAAAGAAAGAAAGAAAGAAAGAAAGAAAGAAAGAAAGAAAGAAAGGAGGGAGGGAGGGAGGGAGGAAGGAAGAGAAAGAAAGAAAGAAAAAAAGAAGGAAGGAAGGAAGGAAAGAAAGAAAGAAAGAAAGAAAGAAAGAAGGGAGGGAGGGAGGGAAGAAAGAAAGAAAGAAAGAAAGAAAGAAAGAAAGAAGGAAGGAAGGAAGGAAGGAAAGAAAGAAAGAAAGGAAGGAAGGAAAGAAAGAAAGAAAGAAAGAAAGAAAGAAAGAAAGACCAATTGCCTTTGGAAAAGCATCTTTGGGTCTTGATCTTCCTGGATCAGAAGTAAGCTGTCTCTTTAACCATAATAAATACACCCTTGTTGGCCTTGAGAGATCTTGGGGTCTTAGAAGGTCTACCATACATCTTGGCTGTACCCTAACATCTCCTCCTAAGTATTCTGTACTTCCCACTGAGCGATAAGCAAATATGATAACCTTTCTGTTTTGCAGAGAAATAGATGGGGGTGGGAGTTTTTCCACTGCAACACACTCTTCTGGATTGTGTGAGCCATCTCCTCATACTCTAACCCTCTTTTTTTTCTTCTGACAAACATGTGCAATTAAGCTCATCTACAGTGAAGCCAGTGTAATGAAACAAGCAACAGAAAAAGATCTCACATGTCAGGGACAGCTATCATTTCAGGTGTATGTCAGTGGGCATGCACACCCACGTGTGGCTCTTCTTACACAACATCTCCAGAGCATTGTGTAAGAAAGCTGGAGAGTCACATTTCAGTTCACCCGCTCTACAGTGATCCTACCCAAAGCATTTATAAAAAAAAAAAAAAATCTCCACACATTAGAAGAAACAAATTTACAATGCACCACACAGAGAATAAAAGCAGAAAGAGAAAGGGAGAAAGAGAAAGAAAGAAGCCTGAGAAAGATTTAACAAGCTTCTTTATCCTTCCATGTGTTTCATTGGGTTCTCTCTGAAAGCCTCTTCTGTTAGTTTCGAAATGTCAATTTCTTTTGAAGAAAACTGAGGATTGCCCTAATATCCTTGAAATGATTGGCTTCATTTTGATGTATAGTTACTTATTTAAATTAGTTTTCCTCTTACTTTGTGTTTGTAAGAAATATTGAAAATGTCTCTTTTAGAAGTCTTTCTTTCTTTCTTTCCTTCCTTCCTTCCTTTCTTTCTCTCTCTCTCTCTCTTCTTTCTTTCTCTCTCTCTTCTTTCTTTCTTTCTTTCTTTCTTTCTTTCTTTCTTTCTTTTTTCTTTCTCTCTCTCTTCTTTCTTTCTTTCTTTCTCTCTCTCTTCTTTCTTTCTTTTTTCTTTCTTTCTCTCTCTTCTTTCTTTCTTCTTTCTTTTTTTTCTTTCTTTTTTCTTTCTTTCTTCCTCTCTCTCTTCTTTCTTTCTTTCTCTTTCTTCTTTCTTTCTCTTTCTTTCTTTCTTTCTTTCTTCTCTTAGACACAGAGCAATGTTGTTTCATAAGTTCTTAGGTGTCTTCCAGGTGTCCAGCCAGTTACTTTGTAAAATTAAATATTAGATTAACCCAAGTTGTCTTTCCTATAATAAATGCACATCAGACTTGAAAATGTGTAAGTTACATTAGTGAGGAAGACTTACATCCATCTCACTCTTCCAAACTCACAGCTAACAATTCGTTTTAATTCTTCCTCCCATCCTGTAGTCTAATGGAACTTGGTTAGTCTCCCTTGCTGATTGACAGGGAAAGAAGAACCTATAATCTAAAAAGTCATTGGAGGATGATAAGATTAATAAAACTGTGTTGTACTTGCTTTTCAATTCTAAAAGAAATCAACCCTGACTGTTCTTTGGAAGGACAGATATTGAAGCTCAAATACTTGGGTCATCAAATAAGAAGAGAGGACTTATTTTGAAAAGTCCCTGATGTTGGGAAAGACGGAAGGCAAAAGGAGACGGGGATGACAGAGGATGAGATGGTTAGATAGTGTCATCAATGCAATGGACATCAATTTGGGCAAACTCCGGGAGACAGTGGGGCCTGGCATGTTGTGTAATCTATGGGGTTGTGAAGAATGGAATGGAATCGAATGGAATGGAATGGGATGGGATGGGATGGGATGGAGTGGAGTGATGTGGAGTGGAGTGGAGTGGAGTGGAGTGGAGTGGAGTGGAGTCGAGTCGAGTCGAGTCGAGTCGAGTCGAGTAGAGTAGAGTAGAGTAAAGTAGAACAGAACAGAACAGAACAGAACAGAACAGAACAGAATAGAATAGAATAGAATAGAATAGAATAGAATAGAATAATGGAATGAAGAATAGAGTAGAACGGAACAGAACGGAACGAACAGAACAGAACAGAACAGAACAGAACAGAACAGAACAGAATAGAATAGAATAGAAAAAAGAATAGAATAGAATAGAATAGAATAATGGAATGAGGAATAGAGTAGAATAGAGCAGAGGAGAGGAGAGCAGAGCAGAGCAGAGGAGAGCAGAGCAGAGCAGAGTAGAACAGAACAGAACAGAACAGAATAGAACAGAACAGAATAATGGAATGAAGAATAGAGTAGAACGGAAAGGAACGGAACGGAACAGAACAGAACAGAACAGAACAGAACAGAACAGAACAGAATAGAATAATGGAATGAAGAATAGAGCAGAGCAGAGCAGAGCAGAGCAGAGCAGAGCAGAGCAGAGCAGAGTAGAGTAGAGTAGAGCAGAGCAGAGTAGAGTAGAGTAGAATAGAATAACTTTATTGACACTTTATTGTGCCTTTGGCATTTAGTTATGCTGGCCACATGACCACGGAGACATCTTCGGACAGCGCTGGCTCTTTGGCTTTGAAACAGAGATGAGCACCGCCTCCTAGAGTCAGGAATGACTAGAACATATGTGCGAGGGGAACCTTTATCTTTTTATCTATCTATCTATCTATCTATCTATCTATCTATCTATCTATCTATCTATCTATCTATACCATTCACTCATCACGAAATCTCCAGAACGGTAAAGCCTACAAACTTGAAATTTGCCACGTATGTTCCCCTAGGTGCTCACTAAGAAAGGATTTTTCAAAATGACCATCAGATCATTAGTATTTCATATACAGTATTATATTCACACGTTCTGATGCTAAGGAGTTAGATATTCTACTTCCCCTCCCTACCTGAAAGGAACTCTGTTCCAACTGCCAGTTGCCTTATATTCACACGCTCTGATGCTACCCCTTCGCTAAACCGGGCGTTGGCATGGCTAGCACGTGACTCATCCAGCCTGCTTGCTGGGACATTCTACTCCCACTCCCCCTCTGGTTCCAACTGGCAGTTGCCTTATAGTAACACACTCCGATGCTATGGAGTTCCACATTCTACATTAAGTTTCAAGCTTTAAGTGTCAATTTATCAAGCCCGAGCACATAGTTTCGTAGCGAAGCACGGGCGTCCAGATAGTTAGATATATTTCTAAGGAACGGATAGTTAAGACTCCATTAGAGACAGAACCTTTATCAGAAAGCAGTACTGGGCAGACTTTTGCAAGGGGAGTGGAACTGTAAGCCATGTATGTCAGGCAAAGAATTAATAATATGGAAATATGGATGCTCTCATGTCCTTTTTTGAGAGCTTCCTGGAAGCAGCTGCTAAACCATTGTGGGGATTTTAAACAGAATGCTAGCCCTGAAGCCTGAGCCAAGAGATCTTGTCTTACGTTGGCATGTTCCTCTTTAAATGTCAGAGAAAAGTCCATATGGTACAAAAAGTCCATCTTCTGGTTTCTATAATTTGATTAATCATTTGCATACGCATATACCCAATCTTTCCCCCCACAAAAGGATCACTCCTTCCTCCTATGGAGATAAACGGGTATGTACGTGTTGTCCTTCAATGGGAAAAACAAATTAGAAGCAACTCCCCTCCCTTTCAGAAGACTGAAAGCTAGGTAAAAGTAAAGGTTCCCCTCGCACATACAGGTGAAACTCGAAAAATTAGAATATCGTGCAAAAGTTCATTTATTTCAGTAATGCAACTTAAAAGGTGAAACTAATATATGAGATAGATTCATTACACGCAAAGTGAGATAGTTCAAGCCTTGATTTGTCGTACTTTTGATAATTATGGTTTATAGCTCATGAAAACCCCAAATTCACAATCTCAGAAAATTAGAATATTGTGAAAAGGTTCCATATTCTAGGCTCAAAGTGTCCCACTCTAATCAGCTAATTAAGCCATAACACCTGCAAAGGGTTCTTGAGCCTTTAAATGATCTCTCAGTCTGGTTCAGTAGGAATCACAATCATGGGAAAGACTGCTGATCTGACAGTTGTGCAGAAAACCATCATTGACACCCTCCATAAGGAGGGAAAGCCTCAAAAGGTAATTGCAAAAGAAGTTGGATGTTCCCAAAGTGCTGTATCAAAGCACATTAATAGAAAGTTATGTGGAAGGGAAAAGTGTGGGAGGAAAAGGTGCACCAGCAGCAGGGATGACCGCAGCCTGGAGAGGATTGTCAGGAAAAGGCCATTCAAAAGTGTTGGGGACTTTCACAAGGAGTGGACTGAGGCTGGAGTCAGTGCATCAAGAGCCACCACACACAGACGGATCCTGGACATGGGCTTCAAATGTCGTATTCCTCTTGTCAAGCCGCTCCTGAACAACAAACAACGTCAGAAGCGTCTTACCTGGGCTAAAGACAAAAAGAACTGGTCTGTTGCTCAGTGGTCCAAAGTCCTCTTTTCTGATGAGAGCAACTTTTGCATCTCATTTGGAAACCAAGGACCCAGAATCTGGAGGAAGAATGGAGACGCATACACTGCAAGATGCTTGAAGTCCAGGGTGAAGTTTCCACAGTCTGTGTTGATTTGGGGAGCCATGTCATCTGCTGGTGTTGGTCCACTGTGCTTCATTAAGTCCAGGGTCAACGCAACCGTCTACCAGGAGATTTTGGAGCACTTCATGCTTCCTTCTGCAGACGAGCTTTATGGGGATGCTGACTTCATTTTCCAGCAGGACTTGGCACCTGCCCACACTGCCAAAAATACCAAAACCTGGTTCAATGACCATGGCATTATTGTGCTTGATTGGCCAGCAAACTCGCCTGACCTGAACCCCATATGGGGCATTGCCAAGAGAAAGATGAGAGACATGAGACCGAACAATGCAGAAGTGCTGAAGGCCGCTATTGAAGCATCCTGGTCTTCCATAACACCTCAGCAGTGCCACAGGCTGATAGCATCCATGCCACACCACATTGAGGCAGTAATTGATGCAAAAGGGGCCCAAACCAAGTACTGAGTACATATGCATGCTTATACTTTTCAGAGGTCCGATATTGTTCTATGTACAATCCTTGTTTTATTGATTTCATGTAATATTCTAATTTTCTGAGATTGTGAATTTGGGGATTTTCATGAGCTGTAAACCATAATCATCAAAATTATGATAAATCAAGGCTTGGACTATCTCGCTTTGCATGTAATGAGCCTATCTCATATATTAGTTTCACCTTTTAAGTTGCATGAAATAAATGAACTTTTGCACGATATTCTAATTTTTTGAGTTTCACCTGTATGTGCTAGTCATTCCTGACTCTAGGGCCCAGTGCTCATCTCCGTTTCTAAGCCGAGGGTCCAGCGCTGTCCGAAGACATCTCCATGATCATGTGGCCAGCATGACTAAATGCCAAAGGCTCACGGAACACTGTTACTTTCCCACCAAAGGTGGTCCCTATTTTTTTCCCTTTATCTAAGCCTGATTGTTTAAACTATGTAACTTAAACTCTTTGATAATGTATTTGAATGGCATGACACTCAATTAAAAGACATGAGGGACCTTCCCAGCACAGGTGGTCCCTATTTTTCTACTTGCATTTTTTACATGCTTTTGAACTGCTAGGTTGGCAGAAGCTGGGACAAGTAGCAGGAGCTCACCCAATTACGCGGCACTAGGGATTCGAACCACTGAACTGCCGACCTTTCCATCAGCAAGCTCAGCATCTTAGCCACTGAGCATCCCTTGAAAGCTAAGTAGAAATCTTTTTTAAAAATCATCAGAATAAGAAAATCAGAAGCAGCCATTTAGGGCACCGAGACCCTCTCTCTAATGAAAATTAGATAGATAGATAGATAGATAGATAGATAGATAGATAGATAGATAGATAGAGATAGATAGATAGATAGATAGATAGAGAGAGAGAGAGAGAGAGAGATGAGATAGATAGATAGATAGATAGATAGATAGATAGATAGATAGATGATAGATAGATAGATAGATAGATAGATAGATAGATAGATAGACAGACAGATAGATGATAGAGATAGAGAGAGTTAGAGTTAGAGTTAGAGTTAGAGTTAGAGATGGAGATAGAGATAGAGATAGAGATAGAGATAGAGATAGAGATAGAGATAGAGATAGAGATAGAGATAGAGATAGATATTTACAATGCAGTTGGAAATGTAATAAAAATGTAAATTGTGCTGGGAAATAGAAATGGTACAGCAGAAAAAGCTGTGCACATGTCAACATGGTATCTACCAATGGGTTCAGCTGACCAGGTAACGGGGACTTCAAGAATGTTCTCTTCCCTCTGCTGCCTTCTGATGTTCAGACAAAAGGTCTTTTGAACAACTGTCCTTCACACAGAAGATACTTTGGAGTAAAAGGCTGGCCTTCAAACGAATAAAGCGGGAATACAGATTCTGTAATTAGATGGAGGGGTTGTGTGAAAAGTCTTCAAATTCTCCTGAGCTACGAAGACTAGAACAAAGCTCATCCTGTCACATTGTGAAGATTTCTGCAACATTGTCCTGACAAAGAAGACGTAATAAGTGAAGTAAACAAAACCTACCAAGCTTGGGTTGGAGTTCTTTTAAGATCCTTACCGTAGGTTCTGGAAATCCATTGTCTTCAGGTTCATTTATACTATGAACCAGATGTTCATAGACTTGAACTTATGGCCATGAATATGGCTTCGCAGGACTACTTTGAGAAAAAAACAAACAAACCAGGGCTATTATTGCATTTGTATGCCTTCTAGCATTCATAAGAGTTTTTGATGCTTCCCTTCTTTTTACAATTACGTATTATTATTATAATAATAACAACAGTGTATTAAATTTATAAGGTCACTTAAGAAAAAAGGTTGGCTCAATAGCTTCCTTGTTAGCCATGCTAATAAAAAAACCCAGTAATGCCAAATTAGATTGATGGTGGAGCTAATTTAATTTAAAAAAAAAAAAAGTTGCAAAATTGGCACAGCTCACTTAACAACTGTCTTCCTTACCAATGGAAATTCTTGTTCCAATTGTGGTCATAAGTCAAGGACTACCTGTATACCATAAAAGAAACCTGCAGCAATACTAAGGGGGGACAGGATAGCAGTTTTCCAATATTTGAGGGGCTGCCACAGAGAGGAGGGGGGTCAAGCTATTGTCCAAAGCACCTGAAGCCCAGAAGAGGAATAATGGATTGAAACTGACCAAGGAGAGATTCAACCTGGAAATAAAAAGGAATTTTCTGACAGTGAGAGCAATCGACTAATGGAACAAGGAAGTTGCCTTCAGAAGTTGTGGGAGCTTCATCACTGGAAGCTTTCAAGAAGAGACTGCACTGCCATCTGTCAGAAATGGTGAAGGGTCTCCTGCTTGAGCGGGGGGTTGGACTAGATGATCTTTAAGGTCCCTTCCAACTCTGTTAATATGTTTGTCTATCACACACATCTTCCAAACATTTATTTATTTATTCAACTTGTGTATCGCCTTTCTCCCCAAGGGGACTCAGGACGGTGAACAGCCAAACTTAAAACACATATAGTACAAAAGTTAAGAAAAAACTAAAAATAAATTAAATCATCGGCATTTCCAATTTAAAATCCCAGATCTGCAAAAACCGAAAAGTTCCCAATTTAAAACCCAGAATCAATAAAATCGAAAATTTAAAAACCCCATTAAAACCATTTCAAACTAGGCCAGCTTGCTGGAATAAATAAGTCTTCAGGGCCTTGCGGAAAGCGCGGAAGTCCGGGATCAGTCGTATTCCAGGAGGAATACGACTCATTCCACAGGGCGGGTGCCCCCACAGAGAAGGCTCTCCCCTTGGGGGCCGCCAGCCAACATTGCTTGGCCGACGGCACCCTGAGGAGGCCCTCTCTGTGCGAACGTACTGGCCGGTGGGAGGTAATCGGTAGCAGCAGGCGGTCTCGCAGGTATCCTGGCCCTATGCCATGGAGCACTTTAAAGGTAAGAACCAACACCTTGAAGTGCACCTGGAAGAACACTGGGAGCCAGTGCAGCTCACGCAGGAGAGGTGTTACGTGGGAGCG